TAGAGGGACCATACTTGCTTTGATGCTGGAGTATTCCCTCTATTTGTAGGATCAGTTGTTGACTTAGCAACTTCAAAGGGACACAGAGATCTCTGGACATTTTGTGTTCATTTATTTATTCACTAAGTATATATACATCGAAAGCCAAGCATTATCCTGTATCGACTGCTATGGTCTGAATTGTGTCCCTTCTAAATTCATATATCAAAGCCCTAACCCCACTGTGATAGTATTTGGAGATGGGGCCTTTGGGAAGTGATGAGGTTTAAATGAGGTCATGGAGGTAGGGTCCTCATGATAGAATGAGTGCTCTTATAAGAAGAGACCAGAAATTGATCTCTGTCTCTCTCTCTCTCTCTCTCTCTCTCATTTCTCTCTGCCACATGAAGATGCAGCAAGAAAGGCCAGGAAGGGGGCCCTTGCCAGAACCTGACCATGCTGGCACCCTGATCTCAGAATTCCTAGTCTCCAGAACTGTGAGAAACAAGTGGCCCAGAACAGCTCACTTCTGGGCCTACCACAGTGGAGCTCTTGATCTCTCCTTCCTCTCTCCTTTCAAGTAGTGCCAGCTACACGATTTGTGAGGGCTCAGTGCAAAATTAGAGTGCAAGACTCCTTGCTGAAAAAACAAGAAAATATGCTATTAAAGTTACTAAAAATATGAAGCCTTTTCCTATCGTGGTCTCTCTCCACTTGTCATGTTGTTATTTATTTGCTATTTAATATTGTTCTAAAGTCAGAAACATAAAAAAATTTTAATTACTAGCATGAATTTTACCATTGTGCAATGCAAGATTTAGAAGCCATTCAGTCTGTGGTATTTTTGTTATAGCAGTTCTAGCTGACTAGGACATGAACACATGTGGCTCCCGACTTTGTGTGAATCAAATAAACACAAAAGTATATATGAAATAAAACTGTAGAAAGTGCTATAAAGAAAAATGATAGGGAAAAATAAGAGGGTGACTTAATTTAGATTGGGGTGTCATGACAAGATGGTGATGATTTAGGGACTGGCCCTCCAGGCAGAAAGAGCAACGGGTGTGAAAGGAGGAAAGAGTTTGTGAATTGAGAAAATTGCTGTAAATGTAAACACCAGGAAGGACCGTGGTGTTCCTATTCTGCTTCATTTTATACCTTTCATGTAGCTATAGTTGTGTGGGATAAAGTTTCTGGATTTCAAACAAGAGCACAAAAATCAATCAAGTGCCAATGTTCACAAGGACCTTGACACTTTGTGTGTGATTTGGGGCAAGTCACTTATTCTCTTCATACATCAGTTACTTTCTCTGTAACATGTACATAAGAACAGCCACCTTTAGCAGGAGAGGAAGTGTAATGAACCCCGGGCATAGGGTCTCACAAAGAACAGGTGCTCATGAAACAATAGCCAATATTAATACTGACAGGAGGTCTAGATGGAATATTTGAGATCTAAACTATTTTCTAAGAGCTTGGGATCAATAGCTATGTGCTTTTTAGCTTATATAAGGTATAACTTGGTTAATACCCTCTCTTATTGCTACGAAACACTACATGTTCAGTCTGGGCATATGCCAAATATTCTCTTAAAAGAAAGAAATTTGGGAATCATAGATGTCATAAATCCAATTTCAAATATTAACACCAACTAACTGAATCAGTTCCACCATTCTAAATAAAACTTGGATGCCCACCGTATTTAAAATGGCTATTCTGGGATGCAGCAAAAAATCAAATGCCAATCGGCCAGTTTGATTTTATCAGTTAAAACAGTTACACTATTGTAAGTGAAAAAATGGACTCCCCCAATACTTGCGTTTGTTACTGACCATCTGTCTAAACAGAGTCAAATTGTTATAGAGGAATCTCTGCACGAATGGAAGCCTGGTGAGCTCAATGATGTCTATCAGAAGCTACGAGAACTGCCTAACACATTTCTTAAGTGTTTTATGTGGTAAATACAAAACTAATCCCTTCAGTCCTGTTGACTGAACTTTGAATGATCCATCCATCTAGTTATTCAATAAATATTATTGATTATCTGCCACGTGTTAGGTATTATTCTAGGTACTGAGGTAGAACATTATATTATCACTCTAAAAGAAGTCCCTAACTTCTGAAAATATACTATTCTATCTTGGAAACTATAAAACCAACTTCCATTAAAAACAAGGATTATGCTTCCAGAGAGTTCTGACAGCAGAGCCAAAGGAAAAAAATCAGAGAGCACTTTGGCCCGGTTTCTTATTCAGTTTTTAAACAATGCTTAAAAGTACATAATAAGTGTAATAGAAGGGTTTTTGTTTCCCACATAACAGTGAAGATCAAGAGTGAACTCTAATGTTGTACTTTAAGATATTCCTTTATAGTGTTTTCTATAGATGCCTGCAATACTTTATCACTCTTACCAGCTTGGGAAACTGTTTTCTTTTAGAGTGATTTTGCCTTTTGTTTATACAGTTCGGTCTTTCTCAATTCCCTTGGATAAAAATATTTTTGTTTAATCATATCAAATGATCTATTCATAAATCCTTAATAGAACTTATCACATTGTAGTTTGTGGAATAAAAGCCATTTAAGAGCTATATACCCTGTGCCCCACACAGAGGAGCTCCTTAAATGTTTGGTGATTTAAGAGTTAGTACAAAAGTAATGATTTAAGGAATGAGTTCTGTCAATGTTAAGACATGTACTGTATGCTCTCAAGTACATTTCAAATACTTGAACATATATAATCAACAAGTTGTCCCTGAGCTTACTACAGCTCTACTCAATGGGATATATCTGTTATTTAAGTATGAAAAAAATCAGTAAAAATAATAGAGATTATATAGAGGTTTGAAAATATAATTATAAATTTATGAAAAGTTAAGTTGGAACTACTGTGGTAGGACAGTTTTGAAAAGGAACCAGCATGTTGTGTTTTATAAACAAAGCTTCAAATACCTAACAATAAAAATCTAGATCATAAGCAATGTATTGAACTGTTCAAGAAAGGTTTGCAAGTGAAAGCCTTAGCCCAAAGTCAGCCTGCAGCAGAGTTTATTTTTCACATTAAAAAAAAAAAAGTCATTTGAATCTCCTTAGGTAAGATGTACATTCCCCTGTTTAGCCACCAACTCAACCATTTCCTATTTCCCTGAACTCTGCCAGTTATGTTGCTGTCTGGTCCCTAAAAGCACTGTGTTGGGATCTAGTGCCTTATAAGTTCCTCTGTGCCTTAGGGTTAAAAGCTATTCCATTTCACAGATAACTCACATTAGCCTGAAACCATTAAGATAAAGTTATAGCTAATAAAGTGAGGAAGGTTCTGTGGTTTAATGTAGATTAGAATTTGGAAAGAGAGGACATACCCACAAATTCCCTTCCCTATAATAAAACATAAAAAAGGAGAAGTCTAGACATTGATAGCTATAATTCTTTGAACTCTTAAAATATTAATGAAACCATAATGCTTGTCATCAACATCTCATCTATAACACTCACTATTGCTAAAATGAATTTGTCTTTCAGATCAGAATCTTGTGATAATGTCTAGCTTTGCTAACTACACCCACTATGCAAACCAGGGAGAAGGAGAGGCCAGATACACTGGGGTGGACTGACTGTGGGATTTTTTCTGGTCTGGACGCCTCCTACAAGCAATGTCTATGAAGACCAGCAGAGGCACATCTACCAAAGAGCGGGATGCGTGTTCAAACAGGAACGCCCGTGGCCACACACTGTCCAAACCACACGGTGCTAAGAGGCCTGGGGCCATCACTTATGCCAGGCTCACTTGCACTGGGAGGACTCCATTTTTACACATGTTGGCTTTCACGGCATTGAACCCAATTGACTTGAGTTGAATAGATAGGACCCATTCACTGATTAGGACCAATGAGTGGGTCTTCTATTCTTTGAGGCAGTACAAAGGGAAATGCTTTTATGTTGGGCAGGAGAAATTCAGATGGGACAATGAATACAAGGACTCTACCATATAATTGTCTTTCCTCGAGCTTGATCTTGGCTATTATGCCAAAGGCGGAATAAATTGAGAAGAGCGATTCAGGAGATCCTCAGTTTGACACCATGGGAGAAAAGTTGGATTTACCAATAACAGCAGCCACTGCTTTTGTATTGAGCACCACTGGGGGGTAGGAACTCCACTTGACATTTTTTATATATTACTTTTTTCAAACTTCACACAAGTCCTATGAAATAGAGATTACTATCACCATTTTTATGGAAGAGGAAACATCAACTAAGTAGCTGAGCAGAGATTCACACCCAGGTCTCCCTGGGTCAGAGCCCACATGGCTTCAGCCTCACCAGGCTGCCCGATTATATTTACAAGTTAAAAACTGTAGCACAAGGAGTCAGGGAAGAAAACCATCCATCTGATTGTGACCCAAACGCCAGAAAGGCAAGAAAGATAAAAATAAAGAGAAAGAAGGAAGGTAGACTAGAGGGCAAAATAGGCATCTGGGAACAGCTTTTACAAAAATAGAAGTGCAATTAAATTGATGTCTTCCAAAATGGTCTGGACTCACATACCTACAGCCCTGGCCGCTCTGTTTTATCTCATTAAAAGCCTGGTTATGGATGGGCAGGCTTGCCATCTGTTTAAATAATAGTTTTCTGTTCTCCATGAACTGAGCTGCAGTGTGGAGGACAATTAAAGCATTTCCACCGCCATCTCGCTCTCGGCGGGAACTCGGATGTTGCAGGACCATGGTCCACCGCGCGCTGGCGTGCGCTCCCAGCTACAGGTCCACACTTTCCACCTCACCTTCCCACCACAGGTAAACCTTCCTGGCTAAGATGCAGGTGTATAAGTATGAATGCCCACTCAGGAAAGAAAAGAAGACAGATTAAGAATAGCTCCAGGACCCCCCTTCTTGACAATCCCAGAGTGACGAGTCTGACTTCCTCTGAAATCTAATAGGCTATTTTCAACATTCCGTTTTAAGTTGGCAATAATGGAGTTTGTTCCAAAAGTGACATGCTTAGAACTAGAACTGCTAGAGAAGCCAAGTGGCTGCAGCCATGACAAAGGAAAGAGGTCTCAGCTATAAATTCTTTGAGGGACTCCCTGGGAGAGGGACTGAGAATGGCTACTGCACCTGAGGTGAATCTCCAGGGTGTCACTTAGGAATGGACGATGGGCCCTCATGCTACTTGTTTTAAATAAGGAAAGCGTCGCACAGTGACAATAAAAGTAATGGCTAATATTTACTGGGCAACAACTGTGAACCAAGCACTGTGCTAAGTATCTTATAAATTAATAGATGCATGCAATCATTATAACAACCCTGGGACATAAGTGTGTTGCTATGATTATTCCTATTTTATTTGCCTAGGTGAGGCAACTGAGGTTTAACATTGCATTGATCTATTTGAGTGTGGATGAGGTGGAATTGTAACACTAGCAGCTTATCTTCTGATTCTGCATCTATTGGATAACCAGTGACTTATTGTCCAAACCAGGATGATTTCAGAAGTAAAATGGGTGCTATTGAAAATTATGCCCAGGCAACAAGAATGAAGTGGGACTGCCCTGGGCAGACTGGGAAGTACAGTCATCCCCCTACACTGCTGCTCTACCCTGTCACCCCACCCGTCTGAATCAGAGGGTAGGTGTATGTGTTAGTCAGGGTCCTCCAGAGAAACAGAACCAATAGCATACACACAGACAAGTAAGGGGGGTTATTGTGGGAGCTGGCTCATGAGAGCATAGGGCCCAAGGAAGTCCCAAGATACACTATCTGCAAACTGGAGTGCCAGAAAGCTGATGGTATAGTTCATCCATGTCTGAAGGCCTTAGGGACCAGGGGAACTAATGATACGGCTCCCGAGGCCTGAGAAACTGGGACTCCGTCCTGGAGTCCAATGGCTTCCGAACCTGGAGCTCTGATGTCTTGATGTCCAAGAGCAGGAGAAGATGAGGTCCCAGAAGAGAAAAAGAGAATTCAATTCACCTTTCCTACGCCTTTTTGTTCCATTCAGGCCCTTATAGGATTAGATGATGCCCACCCACATTGGGGAGGAGAGGTTTTCTTTACTCAGTCTACTGTGACAAATGCTAGTCTCTTCCAGAAACATCCTCACAGGCACACCCAGAAATAACGTTTTATCAGCTCTCTAGAATCACCTACCTCAGTCAAGTCGGTATGTAAAATTAATTATCACGGTATATCATGGCAATAGCTCAAAACAGTTTACATTTACTGTTTCCTGGTGCATTGCAATAGTCGCAATTATCTTTTAGTAAATAATTATTCTCAAAGATCTGAACTCTAACACTGCTTACTTACCTCAGCCCAGGGCCTTTCTTGAGAAATATATCTAGCTCCATTCAATTCCAGAAGCAGTCAAAAAATTTCTGACAACACTGGGGAGAAAAAGAATAGTCCTTGACCCCATTTGCGTGTTCTCTAAGAATCAGCCCTCAAACCCCATGGGTGAGTGTGTATGTGTGTTTGTGTAATATGGTTATGTATACAATATACGCATATATGTATGGTGCATATATAATAAGCAAAACAACATGCAGCAGGTCCTCAGATAACAGCATTTCCTTCAACATCATTTTGTTACAACATTGATGAGAAAAAAATTAGTTTCATTATACGCCAAGAGCCTATTGACAGATTTAGGTGAGGACTTACTGTATATATATATATTCATACTTATATATTTTTGAAGTGTTCTTTTTACAAAGTTTACCATGTTTATTTTTGTCATTTATAGGATATTTTAAACATGTTTGTTCAGAGTTCTTCCAACAAATTGTTCAATGGTGGTGCTTGTCACATTTTTAGGGTTAAAGTTGGGTTTGGATTTAGTGCGGCTTCTTTCCTTCTGCCGTGGCTGTGTACCTAGTACATTGTACCTGAGACTCTATAATCCACAGAAGAAATCCCAGTGTCCAGAGTGAGTGTCCACTACCTCACACCATAGGAAACATTATGGTGCAGGCCAATGGACAAATAAATTGAAGGAGAAAAAAATGACATTATCATAAGCCTGAATTTTACAAATAGGTGTACCCTGACAGCACCTAGTTCCTACTGCCAAATATTAACTGGGTCCTGAAATTCCCTGGGTGTTTGCGCATTGCCTCCCAGAGAAGGAGCTATGTTTCTCAGAGGTGTGGTACAACCTGTGAGAACCAATGAGAGGAATCAGGACAAGACCTTAGGGAGGAAGAGCAATTGTCCCAGGTGAGGTCTTCGCAGGTCTCTGGGCAAGAGAAAGCTGTTGTTCTCTAACAAGGGGAAAGGCTGCTTCTGCTGGCCTGGAGGGTTCCGGCCAATCTGGAAGTCCAGTGGTTTTCAGGCTCATCCAACCAAGCATCCCCATTGTAGGTGTTAGGGTTCCACTCTTCACTTCTCAAGCTTAGTTTTGACACAGGTCATCTATTAAGGAGGTATATACAGTCTCTTTTTGTTCTGCTACCCTTATAATTAAATGCTTGGCCTGATTTTCAGCAGTCTGCCTTGAAGCTGCAAATATTAGGGTCTCTTAAAATGCTACCATGGAGGCCTTCTGATTTAACAACATGTTTTGAGTTGACTATTGGCCACCTTGAACCATTTCATTTACATATATTTAAAGTTTTCAAAGCAATTAACAGAAGCCAGCCAACTCCATGATCCTTATGATTATCTCTGCTTTAGTACCATTCAAGTGCCATAGGCCAAGTCTGTGTTCTTTAACTGCATCTTTTCCCTTTCCACCACCAGAGAGTTGGGAATTGTACTTCTACTGTAGAGCAGGGGTATCACTGCTAGACCTACACCAACAATTAGTCTTTTATCACTGGCTAACTGGGAAGAGATCCTAATCTAGAATTCCATTCTGAGGGTCTGCTTTGTAAGGCCACTCAAAAAACCAACTGTCTTAGCATGGGATCCCCCAGGAATCATAGATGGAACCAAAGGATTATGAACAGGTAGTTGATTTTAGGAAGTGATCCCAAAGAGCAGGAGGAAAGGGTTGGAAAGAGTGAGACAGGGAAGAGGTTCAAGCCAATGCAAAGTGTTGGTCACCCTAGTGGCAACTGGGGCTCCCTTCCTTCTGTCAGGACTCTCAGAGAAGCCCTGCAGAATGTGCCTCAGAATTGCCCACTTGAACCGTGGAGGAGGACAGCATCTACCTACCCCTTTCATTCCCTGGTCAACAGCATTGGCTCTCTTGCATAGCCAGGCTACTGGTGTGCGAGTGTCTGAGAAGATTCCCACAAACAACTCATCCAGTGATCAAAAAGGCCAGGGGAAAGAGTCAGAGCTTTGTGGTAGTGGAGACCAGGTACTGTCAAGTTACACCTGTTTGAAGCTGGTTGCTGTAGCAATGGTTGCAGAAGATGTGGTCTGCAAGAATGTGAAGTGGGGAATACCAGGTGTCTGACATAGATGTGACCCCACTTTAAAAAGTTATGTGAGGCACCACCTGGAGGCGGGTCATGCTAGAAGCTCTGGCATAGCAGGATAGGGGAGGAGGGGCAGGGGCAAGATATGTAACCCTAACGATATCTGTATCCCCATAATATGAGGTAATAAAAAAATAAAATTAAAAAATTAAAAAAAAAAAAGCTGTATAAGAATCTCTGGGCCAGAACAAAGGAGGGAAAAAATTTGAAGAAATTTCTACAGATATTTTATAGAGTAGGTTTTGGTTTAATATACAAGCCTATTAGCCATTACTAAAACTGTTTTGCTGTCTTTTGTTTAAATAAAACTCACATTATTCCTCAATAAATGCCTTGTGTAGAAACAACTGAACCAGAATTTAAAAGTAATGAAATATCACTAATCCTCTGCAAACTGAGTCTGTCTGTAATCAAATTAAAAGACACCTATACTTCCTTAAATCATTAAGTTGGAAAAAGATGAATGCAGTCCTAGGTTTACTTTGTTTGGAATGTGTTTGAGTCAGGGAAACAATATCAGCCTTTTTTATTATATGAAATAATACTGATTTTTCTCCCTAGTCAGGGTCCATTTTCTCCTTTCTAGGCCTGAGGGTGGCCATCTGCTCCTTCCATGCTTCTGTCTAGCATTTCACACTATCTAGCATAAATTCTCTGGATTCCAGAACCGTGAAGGTGATAACTTTGCACAATGCCAAGGGGAATTACATATTTGTAAATGCAGAATGAATTTTATACGGTGAAGTTTCTTGGGATTAATACATCATGTTATCAAACGAATTAATGCATTCAAGACAGTTAAAGCACATAATAAGAGCTCAATAAATGTTAGCTTTGTCATGATTGTCATCATCAGCTTTGTCATGATTGTGATCATCATTGTCATCATCATCATGACTTAGAAGCAGCAGAATCTAACAAAATAAGCACTAGTTTAGGGGTCAGAAGACCTAGCTTTTAGTCCTGACTCTACCATTTATTAGTCTTGTGGCTTTGGTAAAGCCACTTAACTTCTCTGAGACTCAGTGTTCTTATCTCTACAAGAGGGGTAATAAATTCCATTTCATAGCATTATTATGAGGGTGACATATGATAAATGATTTGTGGATTTCAAAGTGCTATGCCAGGGTGGACATTTCCAGTACATTGTTAGGTCCAACCAGTTCTTTTTCTACTATAAGTGTTGGCTGCATAGAGCAGCAGGAGGGGCCTCAGGGGGCTGGGTGTGCTCTGGATTCTGCAAAATCCCAGAAAACTCTGTTGTATGAAATGGTGTTTTATTCCACAACATTTCTAACCTTTGATTTTCATGTGCAATGTGTACTTCGAATTCCATTTGTTCATTTGGATCCTATACCTCTCCAGACAAATAACCTTATCTTTATTTCCAGAATTCCTTCATTCCCATTGAAGCAATCTGAGACTTAATTTAAAATAACCCAACAAATTAAAACAATTATAACTAGTGTCTTTTCCTACATTTTAATTCTTTTTTTGTACTTTCCAAACATTCCAGAATAAGAATGTAATCATTTATAAATAAACAAAAATTCAATGAAAAGAAATTTTAAAGGCCAATATGTATTTCATTCATATATATTAATTTCTGACCAGAAATTTAGAAAGTAGTTGTTTTAAATCTCTGCAAATGGATAGACAGAGTATCAGTTTTTGAATGGCACATGTCTACGGAACACCCAACCGGAACATATTTTAGGCAGACTTTTATTTCTATAAAGAAATGACTTTTAGAGTGAAATTACAAAGGACATTTGGTTTATTTTCTCTACACAATGTGTAACTAAATCAGGCTGCTTACTACCCCATTGGTAGTCTTTTCCCCAAGTTTTGCTCGGGTTTTTAGATTGAATTGTTCTGGAGTAATTCCTTTTATAAACCGCTGAGATGAATGAGCAGTAAATATAAGTTTGTAAAGACTGACTCTTTTGGGTTTCAACTGTCAACACAGGAAATATAACAAAACGGCGAATAATAGAAGATGAAAAAGAAGGCTCTAGGCCTCACTCTGAGAAATATTGTACTTGTTATTGCCTATTGTGTGACTTTCATATAGAACAACAAAGTATCGGCCGATCAATGGAAATCGTGTTAAGCAGAGATCGAGGCTCCAAATGAGGGCAAAAGTGAAGACAAGATAAAATCCTGGAAAATCTGACAAGGCCAGTGATCCATTTGAGCCAGAGAAATTATGAATAAAATATTCAGTACATGGCTGGAGGGACTATTTCCATTCTAATCTTGTGAGGTCAGTATAGACAAAACTATAAAATGATATTCTTCTTCATCTATTCGTTGCTGGTTGTATGTTCAATTTATTTACTCTTTTGCCTCTGCTACCAGACTTTTAAAACGAGAACAGCACAAGCCACTAGGTTCAAATGACTATAAGGAAATAATTTTGAAAAATGTGCATGATAATGTGCTTTTAGGAGTTTTCATAAAATTAATTTAAAGGGTATTCTTAGCAATTTGACGATCATAGACTCTAGGGACATACCTTGGGCAAGTAAATTATTATTTTAAATCTTAATTTCCCTCTCTATAAAATAAGTATACTAAAATTATATATCTTGTAGCATTTTAGTGAATATTATATAAATAAAGTAATGGCAAGTGATTAAAATACTTAGTTGTTATTATTATTCACTCGGTCAATAACCTGTTCATTGACAATTCCCAGGTACTGTCATAGAGGCTGGGGATAAAAAGCCAAATAAAGGGTAATTCCTGTCTTTGAAATGTTTGCTGCCTAATAGACCAAAACATGGAGTTATTCTGTGGGCATATTTGCTGTAATTCCAAGCTGTTGTTGTACAACAGCCATGAATGTGGTTACGTGTATGTGTTCACAAATTTATTTGTGCACTTTTGGGATACTATATGTTGAAGTGTAGAAACTGGAACCCTTTAAGAGAAATTAGTTCCTTCCAATTCTCTTGTCGCTTGCTACTTGAGAGTTAGAATTTCCCTGTAGAGCAGCTCTTTCTCGTTTCAGAGTTTCTTCTCTGCAGGGCCAGAGATGACAAGCTCCCTCCCAGGTTTTTCTCCAACTCCTCTTGTCCCTTTTAAACAATGACCCCTTCTATCCTGTCATTCCATGTAAGATTCCACTTGAAGAACTAAACAAAACCCTGACAAAGCAAAGGATTATTTCAGAATCTTGGGATAAGGTGTTTATTAAATACCTCCTCCGGGATTGAAGTGGGCTTGACCTTAAGCAACCTGAAAATTTGCTGGAAAAAATAAGTACATTCCACTAAAGATCTGTGAGATGGCAATTACTGTGAATACTAATCAAGGTGCTACTATACTGATTCTAGTAGATAGTGTCAAATGACTAAGACAGATCGTATGCAAGGGTGTGTAGGTGGGTGGAGGGCGGGTGCGAAGAATTAATTGGGAAGTTAGCAAATGGCAGTTACAGGAGGAGAAAGAAAGATACTATGCTTGAGTTAATTCTGCAACCTTCAGGTGTCCCTGGCATCTTCTCCTGAGGATAATTTGAAAGGAGAACTAAATCGAGAATCTCTTCAAAGGGTCAAATACCACACGGAGTTAATGCCTATAAGAAGAATTGCTATTGTGTAGATTAAATGCAAGTAGAAAGAAATATACCTGTATCTATTTTTAGAGACTCTGTGATTTCACTTATTTCAGTAACCATTGTTCATGTATAACCTTGCAAGGAAATGAACATGGCCTCCCAGGAAGAAGTAGCGCTTAGTTGTCTCTTGTGACTTGTAATTAAAAAATCAGATACATACTCTCTCATAGTCGAATAAAATGGATAGATTATTGCATTAAAATTAAAGGGTTAAATATCTAGCTATGCAGGCAAATAAAGCCACTATAAGAATTTTTCTGTGTAAATGCAGAAGTATATAGCTCATTTCAATGCCATGTTCTATTCTTAGAGTTAAAGCTGTTACAGAGTTGGAAATTAAGGGAAGGAGGGAAGAGGTGCTCAGAAAAAGTTTCAAGGATCTCTTTAAAGAATGTCAATCAATTTAACAGCTATATGACTAAATTGTGGGGTGGAATTTATAAGGGTCAGATCACAGAAAGGAAGGCTTCTTGCTGATTTCTTCTAATATCTTCCTCTTTTTACAGAAAAGAAGATACTGAAGTGCAAAAATTAATGACTTGCTGAAAGTCACACAGCAAGAGAAAATAGCTAGAGAGGCAGCCCTCTGGCTCATGTCCACAGAATTAAATGTCATATGCCCACATCACCTTGTGCCCACATCACAATGCCAGTCACAAGCCACACTGCTAGCTAACTGGCTCCTAACATCTGGTCAGTTTTATTCCAGGGCTCTTGTTATTCCTGGATCCCAAACCACGTGGAGTGTTTCATCTGATATATGTCAGGGTACGGATCACATCATTTTTATTAGTGAATTTTATTTTCTTTATTTCAAGACACCCTTTTTCAAAGGAGAAATAATTATACTCATATCCAACTGGAGGAAATAGTATGGGGTTTCCAAAGATTTGTAAGTAATAATTAACCAGAGTCCTCGAATCCTTTGTGGAAAGAATCAAGGCATAAATATATAACTTATTTAAACATTTAATTTACCTTAACTAATGACTATATCTGAGGATGCACTTCCGGGTGATGCCTGCGCTTTCACCCACGATAGCCATACCTTGCTGTGGTCAAAGGTCCTGGGAGAATCCCAGGTACCTCCCCAAGGTGTGTACTATGTTAAAGCTATAAAGGAAGCCCAGACGAAGGGAAAGATTCCTGGGATAGCGACACCTTGACCAAGATGGAGAGCCAGTGATGGTGTCTTGGCTGCATCTCAATTCTGTCCACTCCGCTGGGTAGTGACTGCCCAGTGCCATGCTGGGAACGTCCGAGAATGGAAAAGGACTCCTGTCAGTTAGAGGTGGAGGAGTGACTGTGTATGTGTGAAGTGTGGGCCCTCTGGAGGCAGGAAAAGACAGGGTGCTGGTGGACACACGGAAGACATGTCCTGGGAGGCGGAGCTCAGCATTCAGAATGTCACACTCCCTTCTTTCCAGAAATGGTGGAGACCAGAGAATGCAGATGAGAAGCTAGAGAGTGGATGACCTTGCCTAAAACTAAGTGAAAGGTCTGCCCTGAATAATTCCATACAAAATGTTCTTCTTTTCTTCCTTCCTCCCTTCATCCTTCCTTCCATCCCTCCTTTCCTTCTATCTATTTATTTGTCATAAGAATGTATTTCTTCACCCACTTTGTCCTCAAAGGCTATGAGGCAGCTTACAAAGAAAACAGAAATTAAGTAACTGAAAAATATTGGGCAGGAAGAGGAGAGAGAGGGGAGGTGCACATAGTAAAAGTGTAGCAGGAATAAAGATAATGATATGACTAATGTGTGCTAAATGTTTACCATGTTGCTGGCACAAAGTAAGTAGCTCATTCAATCCTCACAAGAACCCCGTGAGGAAAGTACTATTACTACTCCATTTTATAGATGGAGAAATTGAGGCACAGAGAAGTGTCATAGCTAATCAGTGGCAGAATTGGCCACTTACCTAGCTCAAGCCAACAATGCTCTGAATCCTGTGTCCCACCAGCCTGTACTATCTGTTTTAAAATAGGGTTGGTTTGCCATGACCATATGTGATCTGAAGTTTACACCCCTTTGGACAGGCAAGCCTCAAATTCTACTCTCATCTATTAGGGCAAAGAGAGGCAGAGCCTTGAAGATTACCACTGCAGTGGTACATAAGGGGTGAGGCTGCCTGAACATCTGGCCAGATGCAGACGTCTTGGGCTTAAGAAGGCACTGGGGGCCCAAGGCTCTCCTGCTGGGTGGCTGACCCCTTCCGTTCCTGCTCTTGCTGGGCCATGCCAGCCTACTGCCTTAGGTGGGAATGTGACTCAGAACCTCTCAGGTGCCTTTTCCTCCATCCCACTAAAGGATCTGCATGGATCAGTGCTGAGTGTGGGCTGCTTGAAAAAATTATGTATGATTCAAGTGGATGACAATATAAATGACATAATTTGTCCTTTCATCTTTGGGGTTGACTTTTATGACAAAATCCAAACTATATATTAACAGCATTTATTTTAAACTATTTTAAAAATTATTTAATAAAAGGGATAGTCAGATAAGAACATTAATAAACTCTTTGGCTGCAAGTGAATTTAGAATACTGTGGGACTGTTAAAAATAAAAAGACACATCTTAGTATTTAGCAGGTTATGGTCTAAAAGAAAAAGACAGAAAAACCATGCATTTTACAACGCACAAAAAACTGAGAAACAGAAACCTTAGACATAGGTAGACACTGCAAATTTGATGCTTTGGCTCTGAGGGAAAAATGGGCCAGTAAGGTTATCTGAACAACACAGGCATGTAGCTTGAATTTAAAATTTAAAGGACAATTGTGGGTTGGGAGCTTAGAACAACCTCTCTTTTGGCCCCCAGCAGGCCTAAAACCTTAGGGCTTCCACCAAAATTCATGAATTTGTTCAACACTTCTAAGGAACCCACAGTGCGTTGCTGAGAGTGCTGGTTTTGCAGACACACTCCACTATGAGTCCTTCGAGAGTGAGCAGGATGGGAGAAGATACAGCACCAGGAAACAGCCTGCTCTCCACTTAGGGAGAGTCCCCCGGGCACAGGACAGGCTAATGACAGGGCTGTAGAGTCAGCCAGAGGGGGTTTGACTTCCACATCTGCCACTCACTGGAAGAGTGACTTGGGGACAACTTGTTTAAGCCCCATGAGCTCTCATCTTTAAGAGGAACCTACTCACAGGACTATTGTGAGGATTGAATGAGCTGATTTATGTAAATGCTTTGCACAGACACTGACACAATAAATAGGACTTTCTGCCATTTTTATTTCTCATTTACATGGGGATCTTGAATAGATTGTTTCATTCTTCATGTTGTCACTTCGAATATTTGCGTGGATATTAATGACCCCTAACTGTATTACAATGGGCCATATGCCTTACAAATTGGTAGAGGATTAAGAAAATCAAAGAACATATTGCAGATGGTTGAAATTAGAAAGTAATTTTTTTTAAAAAAAATTATGATATACTGAGATGGTTAAAGAAAGAGCAATTACTTACATAACAAATGTGAATGAACCAAAATAACCTTAAGACAAATACTTTCATATTATATTAAAAAATACATAATCTAATAATGTACATTTTATGAGACATTAAAAACAACCAAGGGATGTTAAAAAACTTAAGGGACAATATTAAAATCAGAACAAATAGAATTCAAGGATAAGTTAAAAGTGGATAAAACTCTACTTGCCAGAACATAAAACTCAAAACTTTGTAAAATGCCATAAAATCCATGTTAATACTGGGAAACTTTTTAATAAAGTGTTTTTTACTTGCCAAGAAGAAAAATATATATGGTTATATTTAATATGAGTGATATAATTAGTAGTTTATTCAGGGGTCAGCAACCTTTTTCTGTAAAGAGCCACACAGAAAATATTTTAGGCTTTGTAGGTCACGTACGGTCTTCTGTTGCAGATTCTTCTTGTGTATGGTTTTTAAACAATCCTTTAAAAATATAAAAACCATAAGTATCTCCAGGGCCAAATAAAAATAGGCCCTGAGCCAGCAGGCCAGAGTTTTCTGACCCCTAATTTGTATTCATACTCTATGAAAGTATTCATGTATTTCATATCACACATAAACAATGGATATCACACTTAACATAATTACATTACAGGTATTAACATAATTTCCTACAAACGCCCTTTCTTTTGCTTCAAGAGTACATGAAACATTTATAAAAATTGGCTGAACAGTACACCTAACAGAAATCTTAAAATTTCCTAGATCTATGATTCTCAACACGTGGTCTGGGGGTTCCTGGGGGTTTCCATGATCCTTTAAAGTGTTCCTCGAAGGTCAAATCTATTTTCATAAGAATATATGGTATGACTTGGCTTTTTCACTTTTAATCTCTCATGAAGACACAGTAGAGTTTTCCAAAAGCTTCCTGACGTACTCCATCTCAGCAGATTGAATGCAGAAGCACACATGAGAATCCAGCTGTCTTCCATTGAGCCAGACAGTAAAGAGATTTGCAAAAATGTAAAACAAGGCTACTTTTTTTACACTTCTTTTTTTTGTTTTGGAAAACAATAATTTTCCATCAAAATATGTTGCATATGTTAAGATGTAATGGGTATGTTACTGCTATTAAAGGAGTTAATAAATATGTATTTAAACCTCTTAGTTTCTAACATGGTAAATATTGATAGCCATAACTAGCATAAACCAAATCTCCTTAAGGGTCCTTTATAATTTTTCAGGGTGTAAAGAGGTTCTGAGAACAAAATGTTTGAGAACTAGAGAATAAATGTACAGGCCACACTCTTTTACTGTATTACTTATGCTTGAGTTGGGTGTATTTTCTCTTTTGATAGTGAACTAGCCCAGCCATGAAATCTCTTTAAACATCAACATCCCTTCTCACCACCAGACTGTCTGCCATTTACCTGAGAAAGAAATACAAATGAATCAAATCTGGGGCAAAAGTATCTCTCAGTATCTTTTCTCAAGAATTTCTGACCTATCCAGTAGGGTTATTATTCTACATAGGCTGGGGCAGGGTCTTAACTTCAATTAAAGAAAAATGTGTAACTGGACTATAGGAGCAGAATTGGGAGAATAGTAAATGACTAGCAAGGGATAAACGATGGCAGTTACATTAATTCAAGTTGGGAAAGTGAAACCAAATGAAAAGCCCTAATTTCATTTTTAATTGGATTAAGTGATTTCTCAACAACTGTGCAAATGATATTGACTTTCATTTTCAAAGCTCAAGGAAGAGATATTTGTCTTAAGAACTAAAGTAGCTTTTAAAATAATGAATAAAAGGAGAAAACCAAAACCAAGTCTACATTTCTCCAAAGAGTTTAATGACTTGGGAAAATGGTAGAAAATATATAAAAATAAATGACTTTTATTTTTCAGGTGAATTTTGTATTGAAGTATAGGACACATTATTCAGAAAAGTATTCAATTTATTCAGCTTGTGAATTTTCACAAAGTGAACATAGCTGAATAAGCACCACCCAGAGCAAGAAATAGAACACTGAAACTCCCAGTCGCTATGCACTCTCCTCCCCCAAATTGTGTGGGGATATTTATCTTCTACTTGGCAAGAAAAAAAAAAAAAAGCAAATTTGTTAAAAATTTCTCAGTAATAATGACAGTCTTATGGCGTTTTAAAAACATCTAACATCATTGATTAGTTCTTCCTCTTTTAGAAATATATATTAATGTCTGATTTTGAGTTAAAAGTTTAGTTTATTATATCTCAAACAAGAAGGAGTACAATTATTCCAAGTATGCGCCTAAACTACTGACACAGTTTTGTCATCTTAACGGTAGCTTGTTTATGCCAGCAGCAAAGAAACCTGGAGAGCAAGTGACAATGAAATTGCAAAACGCACTTTCCACAGATTGTTGAGAATTGAAAATTTTTCCTTGCAGGAAGTGGTCCAAAGCCTGGAGGAAGTGGGAGTCAGCTGGTGCAAGGTCTGTTGAATGTGGTGGGTGACAGAGAGTTTCCAAGTCCAGCCTCTATAGTTTGAGCAGCAATATTTGTGCAACATGTGGTCAAGTATTGCCTTGCTAAAGGATTGGCCTGTCTGTATTGACCAATCTTGGCTGCTTAATCATAAGTATCCTCATCATTTTATCCAACTGGGTGCAGTGGACATCTGCTGTAATCAGTTGACAAGGTTTCATGAAGCTGTAGCGGACAATACCAGCACTGGACCACCAAACAGACAACATTAGCTTTTACTGATGAATATTCGGTTTTGGACTGTGTTTCGGCACTTCATCTTTATCCAACCATTATGCCAAATGCTTGAGATTGTCAAAAAGAACCCATTTTTTCATCACACATCACAATACATTGTAGAAATGGTTCCCCTTTTGGTCTTAACAGCAAGGAAAGGCAAGCTTCAAGACGATTTCCCTTTTGACGCTCATTTAATTCATGTGGTACCCATCTATACAGCTTCTTTACCTTGCCAATTTGTTTCAAACGGTCCAATATTGTTGGAATAGTCACGTCAAACCTTGCTGCTAATTCATGTATAGGTTGAGATGTATTCGCTTCCACTACAGCTTTTCAGCTCCTCATTATCCACCTTGGTCTCAGGTCACCCATGTGGATCATTTTCAAGATTGAAATCACCAGAATGGAATTTCTCAAACCACTGATGTACTACTGTGCATGCCACATCCTTCCCAAACACTTTGTTGATAGTTCAAGCTGTCTTCTCTGCATTGGTTCCATGAGGGAACTCATATTGGGAAATAACACGAATTTTTGGCTTATTCCATGGTTTCACAAAAATTGCTC